CAGTGGTAGTGGCTAATTGCTAATTCTGTTTATTTATTGCTTTGTTTACTTATTGCTTTGTCTCGCCAATAATGGCCTCATATTTACTTGTTTCAATATTTTATTCAATTTATTTATTCATTTATGACAACCAATCCCAAACTATACAGATTGGCTCGCCGACATGTCTTGCCGATGCGGACCTTCTGGAGACGATTCGACTGATGGCAGCGGCGAAATACCGCCGTGTTCTGGTGCCGGCTGGTGCGTTTTGGGGAGGCAATGATATTCAGAAGATGGCTGACCAAGGAACTTTGAAGGTTTGTCTTGTTCTAGAATCCTTTGTGATGCGGCAACTTTTGCTAGCAAGTCATCTGATGATGAAGTGCCAGCTGTAAGAAAATTTCCCCCATTAGCGAGGTGACATGTGCTACTTGCGGATCCTCGAGTGGATTTTGGATTACATCACATATGTGCAGAGGAATCAGCCGATTTCATTAGCTTACTACCATACTAGCGCAAATAAATCAGCTCAAATAAAAATGTGGGCACTTTACCACACCATTTACTGTCACGGTCTTCAGAGTTTGGCTCAGAGCCTCGACTTGTCTAGAATTTTGCTTCAGAGCTGGTTTGACCGCCTGAAAACGACCCACTGGCGCCAACTGCCACCGACGTATGTACTTGTTTGGAAACGCCTGGTTTTGGGTTGAAGCCTGTACTGCGAACGCCTAGCGATTTCGGGCCAAGAGGACTGTAAGGCAGCCAAGGTCACAAGGTTAGACAAGACCTTCCTGGCCGACTGCGGTAGTACCCCGCCCACTCGGTTATCGCGTTAGGGTACGTCGCCGTGAAACACCTTAAACGGGGTGTCTGGTCGCTGTAGAGAAGGCTCTTAGTAGCTGAGATTCTAAGTGATTTCCCTTCCAGCGCGGCAGTTACTACACCGGGTCTTCGTGTGTCGGCGTTGCTAACCTGCTGTCTCTGATAGAAGTAGCTACCCCTCTCCCTTCTCGACAGTGAAGTTTTGGGAATGGAGTAGTTTGGTTTACGAAAGGAAAACCTCGGGGGAGGGGGAAGGTAGCGTGGAAGCAAGAAATTATTCTTCCCAACGCCGGGATTTGCCCTCCCCATACTGATAACCCCCTCCTTTGGTGGGGTTCAGCCTTAGCAGAAGGAGAGATCATCACCTTACAGGAAGGGTGCGGACGAGCGCAAAAGGTTACACTGCCGAATGTCCCTTCCGTCCTCAATTCCCTCAGCACTCACGTGGGTGTAGCATTAATGCTAAGGCGCTAAAATAACCCTGGCGGCAAGGTTCCGGGTATTACGGTGGTATCAGGTGCTACAACTCCAGCGCCTGTGGCGCGACCGCCAGGCTGTACTCTAACTAACGCGTGCGATACTTGTGTCCAAGGGTTCCAGCCAACCGGGTGGACAAGATGAAGCGAAATTTTTCCCTTTAGAAACAATTCGGCATCTGGCCGGGTTTTCGAGAAGGAGCCAGTAAAGGCCAAATACTGCCAAAATATGTTATTTCAAAGTAACTAAGAAAACGGGCGGAATCCTTGGTCGTTAAGGCACTCACTATAACGATGACTAAACATCCTTCATCTTTTAAACTGGAATCACCTCTCAAGGAGCTCAACGAGACTGCCAAACTCAACAAAGAGAAGGCCACGGTTCTCTATGAAGGTATGTCTGCACCAAACACCATATCCCATTCACTAGGGAAGTTTTTCGTTGCA